TTATGTATTTATTTAAATAATTCCTATACCGCTTCACATTTGCAAAGGAAACAATCTCTTATCAGTTTTGTAACCTGCCTTAAATAATCAAGTAGAACCTTACAAACGATCAAGCAGTAGAAATGGGAATCAGACACAATTACAATGCTGATGCACATTTAAAGAAGCATAATAACAAGAAAACAAAATATTATCCTAAACATTTTAAAAACTTTAAACATTAAAAAAAACCAAATACAAAAATAAGTGCCTCCAGATGATTAGCTGGGTGTAACATCCTGATTCTTGGAGAGTTCTTCCTATGCTCCCTTTTGCACCTTCAAATCTTATGCCTTGCTGTGGAATACCCAAGGAGGTGTACAATAAATTGATAGCCTAATTAGCCATCATTTGTAAGCCACCACACAAGCTCATTCATAGGTGGAAGCGGATCGTTTAGGTTGCAATCCTGGGTATACTTAAGTGCTATCTGCACCATAGATTTGAAGCACCATCACACCACTATAAATGGTCAGGGCTTCCTCTGATGATACAGTTCACATAGTGGTTTAACAATCAACCCCTCTTCCCAGGGAACTCTGGTAATTGTAGTTTTGTGAGGGGAAGAGGGGGTCTCCTAACAACTCTCAGCTCCCTTAACACTTGCCAGAATTCTTATGGGACGGAGAAGCAGTATGGTACTTTTAAAGCAGTATCATATTTAAAGCATTATCGTGCAGATTGGGCCTATATGTCCATCTAGACCAGTATTGTCTACTCTGACTGGCAATGACTCTTCAGGGTCCTGGGCAGAGGTCTTCTCCATCGCTACTGACCTGGTTCTTTAAACTGGAGGTGGAATCTGGGACCTTCTGCATTCAAATCAGGTGTTCTGCCGCTGAGCTTCAGCACTTCCCTGGGATCTATGGTTGCTGTTTGTAATCCAGCCTGATACTTGCAGACCGCTATAGCAACCTCTGCTCTCAGAATCTCCCCAATAGCAGAAATGGGGTTCCTTCACCTATCATTTAAGTGACTGGCTGCTACTGGGACTCAGGAGTTGAGCACTGCGTCATTGCGAGGAGAGTAATCTCAATCAGAACCGATCAGTGTCAGCAGCCATTTTAGGTTTCCTTGGGAATCTGCTTAGCAACAACATTTCCAAACCACTGGCAGGTCTGCTGGCAGGGTGGGAGATTTTTTAAAGTTTGAGTTGATATTTATTTTTGATTTGATATTTGTATTTTCCACTTTTCTAAGAGCATTGTGGAGCTCAAAGTGGCTCACCATAATAGTAGCATTAAAAACGGACAAACATCAGTACGTATAATCAAAAAGCACAATAAGGTAACCCATAAAACAATTAATAGCAATTGGCACAAACTCATAGTGATTCAAAATATCAGAAACGTCTGGGCTGCTGTCACCTTCCTTTTCCTCCTCCTCGCCCCCAAATCTCAGTGGTGCAGTTAGGTATTGTTAGACTTTGGTCTTATTCTCCCCATCTCTTTGCACAGTAACATAGGTTACGTCAAAATATGGTAAGCCAGCCTTTCTGCATCTGATGTCTCCTTGAAACCCTTCCTTGGTGGCGCCACTGCCAAGTCCAAAAGCCTGCAGACCCATAGCAAAGGAATTATGTGGGTGCTCTCTAACTAGCTGCCTTCTCTACTCCCCTCCCACCAGCTGAGGAATGAATTCTGTGTGTTCTTGCTGTGCCTTTTGTGTGTTTCCGTGTGACTTTTGTAGTCCTGGAGCCTTCCTTGGCAAGTGGGCGGGGGGAGGAGAGAGGGAGACTATCCATATGTTGTATGCCACCCGGGGCACAGACTTGTGATCCTGACTTCTTCATTAAAGCTTGTGGGAGTTTGATTTCTCCAGGGCTCCAGTAGTGGTGTTGCTTGCGGTCTTCCTTCTGCAGTGTGACCTGTTTGCAGAAACACAACCTGAGGCTTGGGTCTCTCTTGGTGAGAAATCCCTACCCCCAAACAGTCATGCATATTTCCAAGAGTAGCCTAAGATGAGCAGTGCATTGGGGGCGGGCATCCTTCCTTGGGCAAAACCTGGTTCTCCCACAAGCAACAAACTGAAAGCTGTTGCAGAAAGGTAGTGGTTTAATAAATTAACCCTATTTGTGCCTGGAAATGCAAGGCTGATTGGCTGGCTGCAACCTCAAGCCTACTCAGTGGTGGAGCAAGTGGTGTAGTGTGGGGGGAGGCACAGGGGCAATTGCCCTGGGCACAAAATTGTTAGGGTGTAAAATTTCAGCCTCAATACAGCTGGTAGGCACACCCTGCTATGCGTGAGTTGTCATTCTCACCCTCTTAGTTGAATGAACCAGTAGCCTGTTGGCCATTATTGTGCACAGCATGCAATTGCACAAGGACCTGTACTTGCTTCTGCTTAGATCCCTTGCTGCACTAATCAGTTATTTCCCATTAGTGAACACATCTGAAGTCTTAACGTTCTTTAACTTGTGCACTGTTCAGGCTGGGGGAGGTGTTTAATGGGTGGAAAGAACAGGAGTAGCAAAGAGCCCCACTTTAAACAAGACCAATTTCCCCCGTGGTAGTGTGTGCTTGTACAGTCCCACAGACACAAATAAAAGCCACTGAATTTGGCCTCCCAGAAAAATAGTCTGTTTTTAAAAGAGAGAGAAAAGCAAGCAAGTAGGTTTCTTAGTTTGCTTGAAAACATGTGAACATCGGATGCTGCAGCCTGGGGAATTGCAAACTTAAGTTTCCAGTGGTTTGTGAGGTGGGGGGCTGCAGCACCCTGGCCCTTCCCCATTATAGCAAAGTTCAAATAAGTTAGGTAGAATCAGGCAGGTTTGCAAAATTATGCAGGTCAGCTTGTAGTATTTCAAGTCTTAGCACAAGATTTTTTGGTCTGTGTGTGTGGTTTTGTTTTTAAAAAACCAAGGCAGAAAACACACCATCCCAAGCGATAGCACAGAAGTTACAGGAGGAACAGGGAGCTGTTGCCCTCCAGAATATGTTGCTGGACTATAACTCCATCATCTCTGACCACTGACTGCACTGCCTGGGGCTGATGGAGTCTAGCCATATCTGAAGGGCCTAAGTTGTCCTTCCCTGAGTGATAGGGCGTAATCTGTGTGAATATCCCAGGAGTGGGTCTTGCTCTTCCCCTTCCTGGAGTGCATCTGTCCACCCACGAAACGGTATTTGCACTGTGAGAAGTGTCTAAACAAACTCTGGACATTTACAGGATTTGGTCCTCCATGTGGGGGTGGAAACAGTGTCTTATTCTCAAGAGATGTCTCAACAGCAGGAGTGCCACCTCAGGTTTTCGTTTTGCTTTTCAGATGATGGGCTGGGAGAAAAGGGATAAGATTTACTGCAGAATGCAATGATCTCCTCTTGGATACCTTTTTAGCTGTCCCAAACAACAAGAACACACAAACAAACCATACAATTAATAATATTTTTTTCTGATTACCTTTTTTTCATACCACAGAATATCTAGAAATCTCTTTGCTTATAAGGAATTTGTATGTAATGTCTAAAATGGGCTGGGGGGGGGAGAAAGTGTTATTTTCATCAAAACACACACAGAGAGACTGTTCTGAATCACTGTTCAACCATTCTGGGACTGAACTCTTGGCATCTCCTTTGAAAGTACCCAGTTCCTTTCACTCATGTTCATGAGAGTTATTAATTCTTAAATTAGATTTATACCCCATTTCTCACCCAAGATGGCTGAAAGAAGCCCATGATAAAAATCCATTGTAATTATAGTCTCTGATGCGGCATTGCTGATCTCCCTCCACAAGTCTCTGCATATCTGTCTTTTAGTAAGACCCTGTATTATATGGGTGTGGGTTTTTTTGCTAGTTTCCACTGCAGGTTTGGCTGGCCATTAGACACCCCCATGAGTGCAAATCTTAACATTAAAACTGGTCTGAGGCTTTAACACTGTGATCATATGCATCAGGTGCACAACCTGTTGCCCCGCCCCCTCCCAATGTTGTTGGACTCTGCCCCCATCAGCTCCTACAAGGGATGGTGGGAGTTGGAGTCAGAGAGCAGCTAGAGGGGTGCTGGTTCCTGGGCCTGATAAACATCTGTTCAGAAATTAAGGCTGCAATTCTATACCCAGTTACCCAGGAGAGAACCCTGCTGAATTCAGAGATTCAGTGCATTCCTAACCATACCTCTTCAGAAGTGTATTCTACTGAATTCAGTGGGGACCGTCTCAGTAGACATGCTTAGGATCGCTCTGTAAGTAGGTGAGTATAGGACTGCTGCCTGTCTACTCAGAAGTAAGTCACCTGGGAATAAGCGGCACTGAACACTGTTGGATGGAGCTAGTATGAACTGTGCTGCAAACTTAACTTTTCCTCACTTTTCAGAAACAAGGAGAAAGTGCCTCTTGTAACTTGAGAATGGCCAGCTTAGAGCTGAGATGGTCTTGTTCCTAACAATTTAATTCTTCTCTTCTGCAAAATTAGGTATCTAATATGGCGCCCAAATGCCTCATATCTTGGATGTTACCATGTATTGATTATTTTATTTGATGTTTCATATTTAACAGTATTCAGGGAGTGACATGCAATGGCACGGCACCTGATGTGGCATATGTTTGATAAGATGCAATGGTGCATAGGTTCTGGCAATAGAGAGCCGTTCACATTTCATGATGCCCACCTGCCTAACTAGGGCACAGGGAGCAAGGTGCTAAGAAGTCTAAGTTGCTCTAATTCTGAAATTAAAATCCCTAAATTTTCAAATTAAAGAGGTCTGCAAATAAAGATGTAAATGGGGAAGCTGGCAGTGCCGACACGTGTATGTTATGAAATCCAGCCATTCACAAATTACACAAGTTGCACCTTCCAGGTGAAGTTGTTTCCAGCGCTGAGGAAAGCAAGGGAGAAGTCGCTGTTACAGATCTGCCATTTTGGCTGAGCTAGGTGCTCCCCCTGCTGTCTGTTCTCTTGCCTGGTGAAGTGTTTTCCCCACCCCCCTGTGCCCCCCCCCTTCTCATTTGTTCCATCACATTAGGATCTGATGGCTGATCACCAAGGAGCTGCCTTGATAAGCGTTTCTCTTGCGGGAGGAGTTGCTGGAGAAGAGGAGCCTGCCTGTGGCTGCATTAGGAGCCAGGACTCTTTCCCTCTCTCTCTTCTTCAAATGGAGCTGCTGAAGTGGGAGATCTGCTCCAGACCTAAACAGCCTATTGTCACAATGGGTGATGCTTGGCTCAGATACCTGGACCCTTTAGACTTGCTGCGGAAATAGTATAAATATATACATGAGATACTAGCAAGCTCAAGCTGCAGGGATCTGCTTCGTATGTAACTGTGTGAGGTTAAGGACGCCTTCAAATGATTGTGGGGTTTTCTTTCTATTTTTTCCCCCTTCTGTGCAACCTGCTTTTGGTTGATTATCCTTATTCTAAGCCCACATGGCTCCTGTTTCAGTACCTGCCGGTCCTGTATATTTGTTTCTTAAATGCTGCACCAAAAGTGGAATGTCCAGTGGAACTTGGGGCTACTTCACCTGTGTGACTTCTTTCTCCCTCCACCCAATATTGTATAAGCCAGATCACTCTAAAAGGTCAGAGTCTTATGCAGATGTCAAGACACTTGAGTCGCGATGTTAACTTCTTGCACAAGAGAGTTGGGGTGGGTCTCCTTCACGCTCGTTCTTGCGAGTGAGTTTCCAGTAGGGGAGTTGCGTCGAAGCAGCTGACTTGTTAACGCCGAACCCAACCGATGTTGGACCCCATTGGAAGTTGCCTGTCCATTAAAGAGTGGGTCCTTCTAAGAGTCCAGTTCTCAGCTGCCTCCCTGGAAAAACAAAGAACACCCCTTACTGTGGAATGGCAGCAAACACAAGGGGGGAAGACGCCTCTAAAATAAAATGAAATATTTGTGGAACGCATTTTGTGTTTTTGTTATTGAACAGTTCGTACTTCTACGCATTTGGGGATAACTTTGATTATAGCCGCAATGTTGTAACCTGCCCTTCTTTCATCTAGTGCCATTGATATTTCGGACTCCCAACTCCCATCATCCCCAGCGAACATGGCTGATGGTCAGTGATTTTGGGAGTTTTAGTTCAACAGCATCTGGACAGCACCAAGCTTGGGGAAGGCTGCTGTAATATTTGTCAGCTACTGCTTTTATAACATTATTCTACTGGAAAATTTGTTTAACTGAAATATTTCTAAGCGGCTTTTCTGTGCAGCTTGCAAGAGTGAAAATAATGTAAAAAAGAAAAGAACCCTTCCACACACATATCTTATTTGTTCCCCCAACTGTCCAAGATAAAAACCAATACATGTACTCATTAAACAACTCTTCACAGCACTCCTAGCCCAGTCCAAGGCAGGCAGGACTTTACCACCATCCTAGTAACAAATACTTAATATTACTCTTGCTAAAGCTATTGAAAACCTGGGAGCTTCATATCGGATGATATGGAGGCCATGTGCTCTTGTTGCGCAAGTTCATTTGCTGTGTTTGGCAGAGCTAAGCAAAGAATGTATGTACTGGACCCTCCCCCCCGAGAAGCAAAGGCACAGTGAAATATAGCAACTTGTTTCTTATTTCCTTTAAAGAAAAGGCTGTGCTCAGAGGAGTTTACCTTGATTATTTATTTGCAGTCTTCAGCCATAATGGTTCTCAAAGCGGTTTCAGGATAATAAAATCAGATTTATAGGTGGTCCCTGCCGTTCTCGCTGTGATGCATCCCTGGAAATATATGCAAGCACTGGAAAAGGTACATTTCTAAAACAGCATAATGGCTCTGGTCTGAGAGAGTGCCAGAGGGGAGAGGTTAGACCTTAGCAGCAGGGATGGAGTTTGCGGGGGGTGGGGTGGGTTGGGGTGCCCATTAGTAGGCTCTGCCGACCTTTCACAGGGAGGGAGCAGCAGCAGCAGCATCCTGAATGCTGGGAGGCTGAGAGCCACTGTTTAAATTTTCCATAGTGCCCTGGATTGATACTTTAGGATAGATATGTTTTTCTCTATACATATATGCATCCTGAGCACTAACACTCCAACAGATCTTGCGTCCCCATTAGGTTTCCAGGGGCGTCACCAAAGTCACAACTCTGTTTCTCAACGCGGAACAATTTCAGCTTCTCTGTGTCTTCTAAATGCAAACTGGATCAGATTTCTCTCTCATCCCCAGTGCTATTTTTCTAGAAAAAGAGGTGCCAGAACTCACCATGAGCAACTCCCTCATTCTCTTAGAATGGCAATGGTGCCCACCTGAGAGGTGCTGGAACTAAGTTCCTGTGAGTTTCCCCTGGAAAAAAAGCTCTGCTCCTTCCTAACAGAAGCCCACATATGCACATACTCATTAGTAGGGATGGGATTCACAATCACAGACTGACGTGACAAGTCCCCGTCCCCCCCCCCCCCCCGCAATTCCCTAGGACAAACACTATTCATTTTGCAAAATGGTTCATAAAAACTCAAACAGGGAACCTTTGGACTATTCTTATCACCTAATTGGCTTTGATTCTTCGAAAAAATTATGAGCCCTGTAAATGTAAAGCTTCTCATTACCCATTATCACCATCCATTTGTATGCCCCTAGAGGTATTGAATTTTATCTTGAGTTGTGCACAATGTGAAGTCATCAAAACGCAACGTCCATTTCAGTTAGTTTTTACAGAATCATATCCAGCTTTTTAAAAGTGTGTATTTGGGTAGAGGAAGTTACTTGGATGTTGCTTCTGTGAGTCTATGTATCTATCATCTATTTATATATTATTTATATATTATTTGCCACAAGAAGACTGGGAAAGAATCAAGGTGAAACAAATCATATGTATGTTTTGCTAGGAAGTAACCAGGATTGAACTGGATAGACTTAACTGCAGAATAAAGATGCATTGGATCAGGATAAATGTTCTCCATTCCTAATTTATTCTCTCTTCCCCTCACCCCACGCTCTCTCTTTCCTTTCCCCCCTTTCCCCCCTCCCTCCCGCCTTTGCTCTTTCTTTTCTTCCCTTCCCAGTGTGAGCCAAATCAGTGGTGAGCCAGTGTGGTGTAGTGGTTAAGAGCGGTAGTCTCGTAATCTGGGGAACCGGGTTCGCGTCTCCGCTCCTCCACATGCAGCTGCTGGGTGACCTTGGGCCAGTCACACTTCTTTGAAGTCTCTCAGCCCCACTCACCTCACAGAGTGTTTGTTGTGGGGGAGGAAGGGAAAGGAGAATGTTAGCCGCTTTGAGACTCCTGAAGAGGAGTGAAAGGCGGGATATCAAATCCAAACTCTTCCCTGCGCTTGGAGGCCAAGCCCCCATGGTGTTCTCTTGGACTTACTTCTACATATAGCTGTCGTAGCAAACCTCATCCTCTCTCTTCCTCTCCAAACCTGCTTTTACTAGTCCCCACTCCATGATTTAGAATACATTCACAGGGTGGTGTTTGCCCACAAGTGACATAGAAGTCAATGGGTATGGCATGAGACACTCAGACTAACACAGAAGTCTTGACTTTCCAGGCCAGGGTATGGGTTGTATTCATGAATTCTGTGTCTTTAAAAATATGCTACTTGCTCAATATAGAAAAGAAACACGAACCCCCCCCCAAAAAAATCTAGTAACATTTACATTTTAGGTGAAAATATTTACTGCCTGTCCTCCCCAATGTTAAAAAAGTCTCTGGGTTGTTTCCTGTTCCGTGTGAGAAATAAATGAAAAACATCACGTGATGAACTGAGGGCGAGAAATGAGAACCCTTGCGCAATTAAGAAATGACCTCTGTTTTCTTTATAAAGCTAGGCTAGAACCAGTAAGCTTTACGACCTCCCTTCACCCCTAAGTGAACAATCTTCTCCTCATGCGCTGGAGAGACAAAACAGATAAGAAACACGAGAACAAATGTTAATGGCTCCTTAAGCACCTCCATAAAACAGAGTTCAAGGAAATACACAGTTCAACAAACAGTTGCAACATTATAATGCCATCTTCTAAACAGCTGCCCTTCATTTTTGGGTTTTTTGGGTTTTGTGTGTGTGTGTGTGCTGCAAAAAAAAATCTGTGAAAATGCCAACAGTCACTTGAAACCTGATCAGCTCTCAAACATTCATGAACATGCAAACAAGGAAGAGCTCAGTATCAAATTTGCCTTTTCTGAATGTTGTTTTCACCCCTACTCGTTAGGCAAATAGAAGGGGAAAGTCTTCTGCACAAAGTGAAGTTTTGCATGTTACAGTTTCCTTTAAAGGAAGAAAGAGACTATTGATTTGAAGTCTGGCACACGTTATGCTATTTGGGTGAGGCAAAACATGACCTCTTCACCACCTCTACACATACCCTCTGGGGAATGGGAAATTAATAGCCAATAATAGTTCTTTATTGCTGCTTTCTTGACTTGGAACCATGTTGGGAAATCTTCCCAACATAAGCCTCCTGGAGCGTCATTGGTCCCAGCGAGTATATAAGGAGAGCAGGACAGGGAGACAGTGAATTGCACAGAGGAACAAGGAAGCCATGCATCTGGAGCTGTGTTACAGGGTTTTTGCAGTCTTGCTCTGTTTTCCCACCTGGATGGAGGCAACTGGTGATCCCAACAAATGCGCAGGTAAGAGATTTTAATTTCTTGCCAGTAAGTAAAGCCATTTTATACCATGTCAGGCCAATGGTCCTGCCAGCTCCATATTGGCAGCTCTCCATGATTCATATGGAGGGTGGGAGGAGAGTCTTCCCCAGTCGTAGTTGGAGATGCCATGGTTGAGCCTAGGACCTTCTGCATGAAAAGCATGTGTTCCAGAAATGAACCATGGCCTCTTCCACCCTTGGAGAATGCTGAACATCATACAAAGCTCATGATAGGAGGAGTGGTTTCTACATTTTTGTGAGTCATTTCTACATACTTAAAGGTTGGCATATCCCTGGGTACACAGAAATATATATGCTTGTAAATTATTGTTTTTAAAAGCAAAACACCAAATGGTCTGATGAGGACCTTTGAACTTCTGAAAGCATTCAGGTGTCAGATGAGATTTTGTGGGAGGTGGAGACAGAAGAGGGAACTGGTGTGCTCAAGCCCTTAATAGTTTCTGGTAGATAAACTAGGGTTGGAGGAATGTGAGCTGAGAGGCTAAATAACTCAGCTCCCAGAATTATTTCAGGAGGATGAAAGGGGGGGCATATTTTCCAGTTGTTCAGAACCCCCACCCCAAGATATAGCAATAGGTTTCAATCCTGAGTCCTAGAAAGGAAGGCATCAGGGCCTGGGAAAGGGGAAAGATGACAGTTTCCCTTTCCTGAAATTTCTCTCTCTCTCTCTCTCTCTCTCTCTCCTCTCTCTCTCTCTCTCACACACACACACACACACACACACACACACACACACACACGATGGCTATAAGGTTTTCTGAAGCCCTTAGCAAAAGCATTCCTCTTAACAGGTGGGGATACACTGCAACATTTTGTTTCAGGTACCACCTGATATTTATTTATTTCTACCTTTTAAAAGGTAGAAAGAGGGACGTGGGTGGCACTGTGGGTAAAACCACAGTGCCTAGGACTTGCCGATCGTATGGTCGGCGGTTCGAATCCCCACGGCGGGGTGAGCTCCCGTCTTTCGGTCCCAGCTCCTGCCCACCTAGCAATTCGAAAGCACCCTTAAAGTGCAAGTAGATAAATAGGTACCGCTTTATAGCAGGAAGGTAAACGCTGTTCCGTGTGCTGCGCTGGTGCCGGCTCGCCATGTGACCCGGAAGTATCTGCGGAAGGCCTCTAGAGTGAGATGAGCGCACAACCCTAGAGTCTGTCAAGACTGGCCCGTACGGGCAAGGGTACCTTTACCTTTTACCTTTACCTTTTAAAAGGGATGAGGGTGGCGCTGTGGGTTAAACCACAGAGCCTAAGACTTGCTGATCAGAAGGTCAGCGGTTCGAATCCCCTTGACGGGGTGAGCTCCCGTTGCTCGGTCCCTGCTCCTGGCAACCTAGCAATTCAAAAGCACATCAAAGTGCAAGTAGATAAATAGGTACCACTCTGGCGGGTGCACTGCTTTGGTTCGCCAGAAGCGGCTTAGTCATGCTGGCCACATGACCCGGAAGCTGGCTCCCTCGGCCATTAAAGCGAGATGAGCGCTGCAACCCCAGAGTTGGCCACGACTGGACCTAATGGTCAGGGGTCCCTTTACCTTTACCTTTACTACCTTTTAAAAAAACAAAAGTTGAGTTTTTCTTTCCCACTTGATTTCCATCCCCCTCTGTGGAGTTGTGCTGTCCTTTGAACTGTGACGCTGGTGCAGTGCCGACTACTATTAGGCAAAGGGAGGTGATTGCCTCAAACAGCAGATGTTAGGGCAATAGAAGCACCTGCCTGGCTGTTTTCCCCATGTCCCCCTGGTTGAAACTTTCTCCTCTGATAGAGTTGTCAGTGTCACATGGCCTGCCCTATACCCCTATATAGTAAGCAGCCAGTCCTGGATCGCGGTCTTCTGCATAATGCCCAGGGATATAAGTTTTTACTGAGCATAGCAGGGGTAAGCACAGGTCCCAATTTGGTCCGTGGAGCTGTTTTCCCCAAACCATGCCCACCTGCCCCACACCTGGGCCAATATGTAACATCAGGTGTGGAGCAGGTAGGGATGCAGCTGGCACAGCTGCACATGCAAGTTCCCCATGGATAGCACAGCTGATCCTTGCAGAGAGAAAGGTTGCTCACTGCTTGTCAGCTGATGGGCGGTGACTTCAAGCCTGCTGCATCAGGGAGGAACTGGATTGTGCAGCTGATCCCTACAGAAAGGGAAGTGTTGAGCATATAGGGATGGCAAAGTTCCTTGACTTGTGGTTCCCAATGACAGAATATCATGGTGACCTGAAAATGGGCAGTTCAAGGACACATTCCAGCCAGGCATAAAAGAAAGTGTGTAGCTTGTTGAAGACTGATGAGGGCCAGAAAAGAGAGGGCTCAAGGGCCACATGTGAGCCTCCCCATCGTTGAAACAAGGTCTAATTTCAGGTGGACACTGACATTAGCACAGAGGGTGAAATACTACATTTCCTATCTTTTCCCACAGAAGTGAAGATTGTGGGTCTTTCGGGTGATGAGAAGCTTTGCCTTCCTGAAGGGATGTCCTGGGTTTCCTGGAGCAGCAGGAACCCCTGAGAATCCTGGGAGCTGTAGTTTGTTAATGGAGCTGAGAGTTGTTAAGAGACCCCAATTCTCCTCACAGAGCTGCCGTTTCCAGAGTTCCCTGAGAAGAAGCATTGGTTGTTAAACCACTTTGGGGTTTCTAACTCTGTGAGGGGAGTAGGATCTGTCCCACCTCTTAAAAACAAACATTCCAGATCCTAGATATGCCAAAAACAGAAATAAAGAGAAGCATGGCAATCTTCAGTGTAGCAAAGCCAAGGATTGATTTTGGATGGCAGGTGTGAAACTTGATACCTGCAGCACTTGTTGGGAGGAACTTAGCCTGTAGACTCCCTTTGGTCTACCAGCTGACCTCATGACTACAACATCAACCTAAGTTTTGTACATTCCCCCCACCCCCCTATTTCCCTCAACTCTCCTTTATGGGTGACATCTGGAGAACTGGAAAGTGTGCCACAAGTTTGTAACATTTGGTGAGTCCTAATCAAGGTATTGCCCAAATTGTGGGTTTTGGAATCATTTCGCCTTCAGTGCATTGTTACGATTTGCTTAGTAACAAGTTTGTTTTCTTTAAATATCAGGTGATCGAGGAGATCTTTTGGCCCTCTGCCAATCCGGTGAGTTTCTTTCTTGCTTCTCTTGGGAAATGCACCCTCTGCCATCTAGTGGCTCAACTTTATAATAATCCTCAAACTCTAATATATAAAATTGCAAGGATGTTGTCACGTTGCAGTTCAGTTTGCCCCAGACAGGTGGCACTGAGAACTACAGTGTGATGAGCTACTGGGCCGTCCGGCAGGTGGACCAGTGGACAGTGATGCAGGTCAAGGTGATGTGAGGAGGAGAGGCAGGTGGGCAGCTCAGGCGATTAACCCAGGTGAAGCAAAGGGAGGGATCTGGAGAACGGAGATGAGGATGGGCAGCCCAGGCAAGTGGCCCAGGTGAGGAAAAGATGAAGGAACTGGAGGACAGAGATGCAGGCAAGCCAGCAGGGGGCCCAGGTGAGTTGCAGAGACCTGGTGAGGTCCAAGGTTTTCTTTTATGAGGTACAAAGGGAGGGAGGAGGGGTTGGCCAGGTGTTCGGGAAGGAAGGTGGGGGCTGACAAAGTTCAAAGGAAGGGGGGCAGCAGTTGGTGAGTTGGAAAGGGAGGGTGTAGGGGGTTGGCGAGAGAATCAAGTAGGGCTTCAACCCTAGTGTACTATATGTTGTTGTTTAGTCGTGTCTGACTCTTTGTGACCCCCTGGATTAGAGCACGCCAGGCACTCCTGTCTTCCACTGCCTCCCGCAGTTTGGTCAAACTCATGCTGGTAGCTTCGAGAACACTATCCAACCATCTCGTCCTCTGTCGTCCCCTTCTCCTTGTGCCCTCCATCTTTCCCAACATCAGGGTCTTTTCCAGGGAGTCTTCTCTTCTCATGAGGTGGCCAAATTATTGGAGCCTCAGCTTCACGATCTGTCCTTCCAGTGAGCACTCAGGGCTGATTTCCTTCAGAATGGAAAGGTTTGATCTTCTTGCTGTCCATGGGACTCTCAAAAGTCTCCTCCAGCACCATAATTCAAAAACATCAATTCTTCAGCGATCAGCCTTCTTTATGGTCCAGCTCTCACTTCCATACATCACATAGTACACAAAGACAACAGTGTACTATATAATGATCCACAAACTGCCCCCAAATACCTACGCCATGGGTAGTCAACATGGTGGGATGATGGGAATTGTAGTCCAGCAGCTTCTGAAGGGCACCACGTTGCCTACCCTAATTGCTTATGTGACAGTAGTTCCTCAGGACTGCCACGATAAGGAAGCGAGCCCATTGTGAGCTCTTCAAAGCCTCCCACAATTCTCCTTTCTTCAAAGGCATATGCAGACTTTGAAATCCCACAGCTTTTCTTCCTTCCTTTCATTCATTCATTATATATGGTTTAACATTCCCTTTTCATGGTACGAAACGCGACTGAGCTGCTGATAAAATCCCAACATCATTAGGCAAAGCAGGGGCTGCTTCTAAATGCTTCAAAAGCCCCAGTGAATGAAGTTTCACACGCCTTATAAATGTAGAAGTGTTATAAAACGTAGAGATAAAAGGATGTCTCTTTTACCCAAGGGCCAGTTTAAAAATGTGGAGTAAAATTTGTAATCTGCATTAGCGACCTGTAGGAACCCTTCTAGGCTAAAAGCAGACAGACTAAACAAGATCACTCTCACAAACACAAATAGCAAAATGAGAAACCCAGCTTTTGTGTGGACATTTTATAGTCTACAATGTGAAAAAGGTGAGCTTTAAACTGTGTCGTAAGCAACAGTAATATTACATTAAACCAGCAGCTCCCAAACCTGCCCCCTTGGTTCCACAAACTCATCCCCAGTGCTCCCTACCCCACCCTATAAAAATATTTATTCAGAATAGTGGTTTTGACAGCCCAATAGGGAAGATAATAACATAATAAAATTCACAACAGTCACAATTAATTGCACATTCATTCAAAATCCAATTAAAACCAATTAGTCAGATAATTCAACAAAACCAATAAACTTGATCCAGTGATACCAGCTTTTCAAAATCTCATTCACACTTCCAGCACTCCCCACCCTAGGTAATCCCCCCACCCCCCGGGGGGTGGTACCACCCTCTTTGGAAACCGCTGCATTAAACAAGTGAAAATGAACCTATGGATTGGTCTTAATGCACTGTCATCAATATATGCAGGTTTTTCCATTGGTAGCACTGATGTTATGGAATTCACTCCCTGCTGGTTAAGAGAGGCCCCCATCTGTATAGGCATTCTGCTGGCTTTTGAACTGTTTGCACAGGCATTCCTTTGACCGCTTGACCTATTTAATTTGTGTTCTGGTTTAGCAGGATTTAATTCTGGATTTTAGAGTTTTAATTGGATCTTTTTATTATGTGTTTTAATTCCAGATGTTTATATCTGAATGTTTCTCTCATTGGTTTTTATACTTGTAAACAGCTTAGAAACCTAATTTGGCATTAAGTGGCATATAAATAATAATCATAAAATGACATTTAATTGGAAGCTATGGTGGTATCCCTAGCTTGCTACATTTCCTGCCTCCATTGCTTTTCATCTTGCCTTTTCTCATTTGGCATATTCTCCCAGCACCAAGAAGCTGCAAGGAGCTGCTGAGCAAGGGGGAGTTCCTGAGCGGCTGGTACACCATCTATCTGCCGGGCTGCTGGCCCCTGAGGGTCTTCTGTGACATGGATACTGATGGAGGGGGCTGGCTGGTGAGTGGCTGCTTTGAGGTGAAGGCAGTGCTACTGCAGTGTACTACGCCCTGTATTGTTATTGGGATTTTTTGCTCCCGTTGGGTTTGATAATTTATTTATTAAACTTATTCACCGCTTGTCACCTAAATGATCTCCAAGTAATTTGCACTTAAAAAAACATATACACAAATAACATAGAGAAGAAAATTCATGTAAAACATTAACATTCCATACAACATGGGGAAATCAAGCTCTCTCTCTGACACACACACAGAGAGAGAGAGAGAGGGAGAGAGAGAGGGAGAGGGAGAGGGAGAGAGAGAGCGTGCAATGGAAAACTTTGTCATTACGCTAACATGAGAACACGGCAGTTTTTCCAACCCACTAACTAGCAGATTAAAATAAAAACACAAACACTGATACTCCTGCACTCCATAGCCCAGAAGTTGGCCCCCTTAAAAATCCCCTACCCATACCTTCCAACACAACGCAGCCCAAATCCAGGATGTCATTTTCCAGGTCTGCACTTCCATGCCTGTGAAACCTAGGGTGGGAAGCCTCTTGCACTCCAAATGTTGCTGGACTCAAACTCTTAGCAGCCCTATCAGGCACCGTCAATAGCTAGGGGTGCTGGGATCTGAAGTCAAGCAACAACTAGAAGGCCATAGCCCCTGCCACTCAAACACTGGATGTGAGAGACTGAATGAGAAAACAATACATTTACAGGTGATGTACTCATTTTTTCTGCTATGCTTGTTTCTATATCTCTTTCTCAGGTGTTTCAGAAGCGGTTGGATGGGTCTGTTGATTTCTACCGTACCTGGAATGACTACAAGAAAGGCTTTGGGAACCAGCTATCGGAATTCTGGCTGGGCAACGAAAACATTCATCTCCTGACACGGGAGGGTAACCCCGCCTTTGATCTGGGGATAAGGGTGGAGGGGAAATTAGATTTGGTTTACAATGAAAGCTGAAGTTGCACAGCCATACCTCGAAATGCACACTTCTCTGAATTTTGCAGTGCAGTTCTCCAGCTAAGTAACGTGTACAAAAAGTGCATGTGCAAGGGTAAAGTGTGCATACAAATGAATGTATTAGAAACCACGTACAAAAGGGTATTATATTGGAGGAAATAGTGTGCATAAATGTGTATATTCACACACAAATGCATGCATTCATTCAAAACTGATGTAAACATGTGGGGAACTGAATTTAACACTGGAAATCTGAAAGAAACCAGAAAGGACATATTTGCCAATCCCTATCTGGAAAAACATTCTTTCCAAGCCAGTAGCAGGGACCTGCTATGCTATTGTGAGCCTCTGGGAGGCAAAAGAGAGCTGTGTTTTTATTCCATCACAACAATCATATTGGATTTATTTGCAGCATCCTATCTGTGCAGGATTTTAAAATACAATGTCTCCACTACCCTCTTCCACCCCACTCTTCTGATAGCAGCCCCCAGTTCAAAACTTTAAGACACCCAGTGATGTGTTTTGATATGACAGGCGCAGAAACCATTTTTCAGCCTGAGGGCTTGGTCCCATTGTGGACAACCTTCTAGAGGCTGCTTTGGAAATATTTCTTGTGCCACATCGCACACAAGCTTTTCAAGTGTGCAAAAAGGCAAAGTTGTGCTGAATTTCTGTCCTCTTTTCCTTAGGGGAACACCAGCTGCGTGTGGACTTGGTAGACTTTGACGACCGCAAAACCTTTGCTCATTACCAGTCCTTCCAGCTCAGGGGAGAAGAGGAGAAGTATCAGCTTGTCCTGGGGCAATTCCTGAGTGGCACTGCAGGTGAGGGACTTCAAACCTGCTTTCCACACGCACTGTGGCCTGGTTCGCATGCCACTTTAAACCAGGAGTGGGGAACTGGACCTGGTCAGAGGCATTTAGTGCATATACTGGAGATAATGGATCTCTGATATCAGATGGTATCAGGTGACTGACAGGTCGGCATGGTTTGCTTAAAATGGTCGCCTGGGCCAAATGCAGAGGCCTGGTGGGTGGGCCTAATTAGGCCCACAGGCCAAAGGCTCCCTGCTGCCATTTTAAATTATAGTTATGAGGCATCAGGCATAAGCCTGCATTTTATTAATGTTTGATCAGGGCTTGTATATTAAAGAGAGAGCTTAAAGATTTTCAAATGTTTCATGCCAGGCAGAGAAAACCTTGGCCATTCTCCTAAGACAAGGGGCCCCCCCTTGATTTATAGCAGAAAACAATTCTCAAAGTCGTAAAAGCTGAAATTACAGGCTGAGAACGGACACTGACCCTACATGTTACAGAAGATAACAAAGGCAGAGATAAATATAATTAGGAATGAGTAAATAGTAAAATAATACCAATGTGCCTCCCAGTAAAATGAGCCAGATCTTCTTTCCAAGGTTAAAGACCAAATGGAGAAGCATCTGGCTGGCAGAAAGAAAGCATTTTTGGGAAGTCTTTTTTTTAAAGCTGTTTCTTTCTTAAACTGAGAGAGTTTAAGGGCAATAAATGTTGGGAAGATCTAATGGGAAAAGCAACTGGCTGAAGGGGGGGGGTGTAAACTGAAGAGGCTTCTTTTAAAACGGTTTTTACTGTGTTCCTTTTTACTGAGTTCTTTTTCTACTTTACAAAGGCCTTATTCTTTTAAAAGGTTACCTATGATAATGTATGAAATATATTAGCTTAAATATATTGGCTTAAATGTAATTATGCAAAGGATTTAAGAAATGCTAGATTCT